CAACTGCAAACTGAAAATGCCCACAGAGGTAAAATAAAGCAGATGCGCCTCATTCCATGTAGTGGTTATTGAGTGTGCCACTTTGTTGTCACGTTACACTAGACAACACAAAGGAGCAAGACTGCTTGCTGGTACCTGTACAGTTCAGTCTGTGGAAAGCGTTTACAATGAGCAATACCCGTGGGTTTTAAGAGGGCAAATGCCACGTAACCTCAGCGCTGCTCCTCATGTGACAGTCCTCAGCCTGCGCGTGGAGGTGTGGAACCGGATCACAAGAAAACAGCTTTCTAAATTAAGGAGCATGATAGTCTGGCTGATACCACTGCTTCAGAAACAGGAAATCCCAGCAGCCTGCACCAGCTGTGCCTGACACCATGGGGGATGCTCACTGAGCACAGGTAACCTCCACACAGCAGAGGTAAGCCTCCATGTAGCAAAGGTGCTGCTCAGCCAAGTGTCTGAATGTTTGGTGCCTGGGAGGGAACTCCACATGGGCTCATGCTGTGCTCATGCAGCACTCCAAGCAGTGAAAATGGCAAGCCAAAACCAACCCCAATAAAGACACAGAGTGGTTAGAGCAGGTATTTGTGGCTGTGGCACTGAGGGCCGTGGGAAGCAGGGTTTGTGCTGGTGTGTTATTGTGATGTTGCACAACAGACACATCACTGAAAGCGGGCGGTTGACATGGGGATAGGCAGTTGCCTGACTTCACTTCAAACACGTTTGGTGCTGGGGTGTTTATCTCTGATGCTGTGTGCACACACTGCACTGGCAGGCTGCTTGGTGAAAAGGAGGCTGATAATCAACTGAGCAGTCTCGGGTGGGAGAAACAAATAGAGTCTGATCAGAGGGGAAAATCAGTGGGGACAAAGGTATGATCAGGATCTTCACAGAGCAAATGTGGTTCGTTTCACCTGCTGGCAGAGCAGAGGCTGCTACAGATGGCCTGGTGGGAGGTTGTGACCTGCACCTTGTGTAAATAGAAGCTGTTATAATTTACTTTATTGTCCTCTCCAGGCCAAATGGCTGCTGCTCTCCCTCTCTCCAGACAGGCATGTGGAAGCTGTGTTCTGGTGTATCTTATGTTCTCCATCCCAACTGAATACCCTACCCGCAGTTGAAAAAATAAAACCTCTAGCTGTCTAGCTTATACATTCAAGCACTGCAAAATAACCACCAGGAGTACAGCAAGCACCTGTAGGTAGCCTGCTAGCCCTGTCCACACAGTACTCTCCATCATACAGTCATCTCTCCTCTTTTTCCCTGTGCTGGCCCTTTCTCAAAGTCTCTGTCTCGGTGCATTGCCCTGATTTTATGAACCATCCAAGCCTTGCACTGAGATGGTTCAGTTTCTTCACAGTTTTCCTATGGTGCTCTCCCTATGTTATTTAGTTCCATGATTCCTGAAGGCTTGCTCCTATTGGACAAAATCAACTTTGTTTGAGGGCTTTAGGCCTCTCTTTGGATTATTTATGTCACAATCTTTCTGATACCTAGAAAGATAGGAGATATCATGCCTGTATTACATATGGGCCTCAGAGGTACAGCATTTGAAACCAAGATGCCTGGAGGACTTTTGAGAGCCTGAACTGAGATGTAAATAATTAGGACACATTGTACAGCACTTTATCTGATTGCAGCATAGCTCCCGCTGTCTGATGGTTGCTGTGATCAGTACTTCCAAGTGCAACAATGGGTATCACAGACTGGTACTGGCCAAAAACCACAACTTATTGGGTTGTCTGTGTAGCACCTTGCAGAGATGGGTGAGGATTCCGTTGTCCCAGTAGGTACTTAGGCCTGCCTGGTCCTTTCTCTTGTGAGGCCTTATTTACTGTCTTGAGAGCTGGAACAAAGCAGAAGCCTTTCTCCTTTATTATACCATCCTCATTAATCACAGGAACAGAGCCTGTCCTGTGCAGCCAGTGAAACAAGGCATCTTTGTAAGAGGAATTTTGGGATCATACAAAGAGACTGTGTCCCATCCAAAAAGGAAGGGGAATGAGTAGCTGCTATGCTTGCTGGCTTCTGGATGCTTTACAGCCTCCAGGTGCATATCTTGCTTTTAAATCTGAAGAGTGGTTGCCTGGGATAACATGAATGTTTTAACTTAAGTACTTTTCTCAGAGGATCTGTTTAGATCTACTATTTCTCAGCATGATTTCACAGACTATAGTAACAGCAGTTGCTGCAGGTGGTGAGGCACATTTTGGTTGGGCTTTAAATGACAGCAAAGGAATGCTTAGTTTAGGGAGCAGTGGGGTCAGTAGAGAAGTGTACTCTTTTTCTTGCTTTCCCTTCTCCATCCAATCACTTCTGTTTCTCTTCCCCACCTGGTTCGTGCAGAAAGCATACCTTCTGCTGCTGAATGGGGCTATCTGGGCAGAACAGTTTCCAGCTCTCAAGGGATGGTGTATGTACACCACTTGCAGGAATGCAGATGCAGCATTTTGGAAACTAAGTTGGCGCAAATAATATGTAACTACTCAAAGGGTTAAACAGTGGTGTAATTCAAATGGTTGGTGCAGCCTGAGAAAAGGCCGTGTTTAATTCAGGTACCTGCGCGTGTTTGTAGCAAAGTTCCACTTTAAAAAGAAGATGGCAATTCAGCTCTTTGCTACAACTCAGTCATTGTGATCTATCTTTATTATTACAGACAAAACAAGTATTCTTTTTTGTTAATGAGATGAACTACTTTCATTGAAATTTTATGAAGGAAAAGCCTATGGATTAACTTTTTTTTCTACATTGGGTGTCTTCCTAATAGAGAAGGCTTAGCCAGATTGAAAGAAACAAGACTATTAGTGGAAAACCCTAAGCAAGCCCTATGTCTGAAGTTACCTTAAACACAGAATGCCCAACAGAGGCAGCCTCACTACTGGGATTCTTCTATTGCTCATCCGTCACCCTTGAGCTAGGAGAACAAACTTTGCAAAACAAATTACACCGAGAGGGATTGTCCCATATACTATTAATATAATTCAGAGCTGATTCACAGCGCTTCTCAGTATGTAAACAGACTAACTCCTTTATAATTACTGTCCTCTCCTCTAAGTAACAGTATGGGAGCAGACTTAGCTACAAGAGGCCTTTAAAATCTTTGATACTGCCAAGTTATGGTGCTCTGAAAAACTGGTAGGCAGACCAAGAGAGAACAGCTGCTTGGCATGCTTGCTTCTTGATCACAGTGTCTGGCCAATTGGTATGCTGGATTTCCAGACTCCTTTAACAAAGGCAGCTGCTTATAAAATGCATAAATACCTGGAGTTTTCTTCCCAAGGCAAATTGTGGTTTCTGCAACTGCTTCGACTTAGCATTACTCTTTGTGGCTCATCTTGTTCTTCTGGTGCAAAGGATGAAAGGTTTTGCTGCTGGAGAGCTTGGGTGTGCCTTTCTCACCAATGCTTCTGGTCCTCCCAAAGCAGAAGAGTCCCTCTAATGATCTGTGGCATAAGCAGGACATTTTCCTATTGCTGCCGCCAAGGTGAAATCAGGTTTTTGAGCTTTCTGTTTGCGTTGCTTTTCTTATTTCTCCTTACACCTGTAGCCCTGTCCTGGGTTCAGCAGTAGCAGTCATTTTTCTCCTTCTTAGTAGCCCACAGAGGTGGCTGCATGAAGGTGGGACAGGTGTTTGTGCTGGGAGTATTTTGTTATCTGTGGCACCTGCCTAAAGCTCTTAGCTGCTCCCTCTCATTCTGCTCTCCATTATGCCCCCATGCATGCTCCAGCTCAAGTCTTCTATTTAATCCTGCTGCTTTTCCTGCACGTCCTTTCAGCACATCTGCTCTGGAGCCTGGCTTCTAAGCAAAGTCTTAACTCATAGCTGACTCTAATGCAGTCATTTGCATGTGTGTGCCATAACTAGTGCTTGACTTTAATGGAATCCAGTTCCTTTCCTGGATTCTCCTATCCTCACTAGCTGCTAGTGTTTTGCTCTTTGACATGGGAAATGCCATCCTTTCTTCCTCTGAAAAAGTATGGGGCTTCACCTCACGGGTTTCTGATATTGTAGAGGTGTGAAATTTTAGTGGCAGACAGGTTTTGCATTTAAATGCCAGTGCCCAAATGTTTTGTCTTTACTGTAATGACTTATTTGAGCAAGGTCTGAACAACTGGATTAAGTCTTTGTATTTACATTACCTGTGAAAATCTCTTGGAAGCTCAAATACTGAGGCTGTTCTTTATAGAACTAGATTATGCAGTGATAATACAAAAGTATGTTTGTCTTGTTGCTTACATACATGTATATGTATATATATGGGGTTTTTTGCAACCACTTGCTTGTTTTTCACAACAGAACTAGGAAAGCTGTGTAAACCCCTTATCTAAACTCCAAAGAGAAAATGTGCATGGTTGCTTCCTTGACCTAGGGAAAAACAAACCTTAAAACAAAAACTCAGGCCACCCCCTTCAGTGTTTGTGAGGTACCTCAACTATTAGACATTAGGAAGAAACTCTTTACTGTGACGGTGGTGAGACACAGGTGCAGGGTGCCCAGAGAAGCTGTGACTGCACCATCCCTGGCAGTGTTCAAGGCCAGGTTGGATGTGGCTTGCTTGGCGCAGCCTCCTCTAGTGGAAGGTGTCCCTGCCTGTGGCAGGGGGGCTGGAACTGGATGAGCTTTCAGGTCCCTTCCAACCCAAACCATTCTGTGGTTCTATGAAACATGACTATTTCTGTTCTTTGTGTATTTTTGTTAAAGAAAAAATAACAAAGAAGCTAAATTAAACCCCAAAGTTGCAAGTTGTTGTATACATTTCTTGAGTGAAACGGTCTTAGCTTCCATTACAGTGCCTAGGGCAGCAGAAGCAGGAGGGGGCAGTAAACTGCTGCTAAAACCAGATGTCTCTATCTGTAACAAAAGTAAATTAACCTTTTTGTCTGGATTGAGAAAACCTTCAGATCAAGTGCTTTCAGAGTTGACAGGTGAAGGCTAAATCAATAAACAATTCATCACATTCAACACTTTTTCCCTATAAGGCAGACACAGTAAGACATAGTTGTTGGGCTTTTCGTTTCTAAACAGCTTTGTTTATTTTAGTCAACAGCAGGCACAGGCATTCAGGCTCTGGACAGACATCCACGGGATTTAGCTGTGCTTTTGCAATTGTAAAGCAATTTCCAGTGTGGAAACGCGGATTGTCTTGCACAAGGGACATACCAAAAGCTCATTAGTTAATGACTGTAAATAGCCTACACTGCCTTGCTCCACATATGCTAAAGTGGGACAGGGCTCATTAAGCAAGTAAACTTACTTATTTTTAAATGACAAAGTAATTTGATTATGGCTGTTACACAACTAATTCCAAATAAACCTGAACAACCCCCTACCAGATTAAGGTGCGACCTCAGAAGTACATGATATGCTCTTAATGGTACAGACTGTATTATTTGACTTGGTTTAACTGCTTTATATGAATCAAATGTCCCAGAAGCTGCGTATCACACTATACAGGCATTTTCCCCTGATCTAATTCACACTGTTATGTGATTGCATGATGGCAGGGATTTTTTTGCCATGCGCTATGTAACACGCACAGTGACTGCCACTGAGGTACAAAATCAGCGCATTTGTTCTTTGGTGAAATAAAGTAGTTCTTAACAATATTTACTGTATTAGTATTTATTTTTTTGAGACAACAGAATAATCCGTATTAAAAAATTGTTATTGGGCCAAGAAGGAGCTTCAGCAGAATATCCTTACATTAGTGAAAAGACATTTTTTTGGCTCAGATCTCATTTTAGGTATTGCCCTAAGACCTCATTTCTGTGAGTAGGTATGACACCTGGTAGGTTATTTTATAACAGGTTATCTTTGACATATCCTTACACTGGAGAACACTAGCAATTCAGCTTAAAGTGCTTAGGGTACGGTTCTGTTATTCATTCCTTCCAGATGGCCTTCTTTCACCCAGTATTTTTCGTGCTCGATAAGTGCAATTTTAACTCCTGTGTGCTTTAGAAGTCTAAAAGCCCCAACCAAATAAGAAAAAATAACAAACCCACAAGCCAACAACAAACCAAACCAAGAACACTGCCAAGACTGAAGAGATCTAGAGCCAACTGCTGAACTCATTTGTCAGAAATGGCTGAAATCAAACCAGACATTCATTAGTATACATTTCTTGTCAGCACAACTGCTGGTCAGAAAGCAAGAAAGTCCACTGTGACAGCGGGGCCCCCACTGTTAGAAGCTCATTGACATTTCTATGTAGCCATTAGATTTCTGAAGAGAGGAGTCTAAGGAATCTTTCCAAAATTACTTTTTCTTGGATGACCTCCAACTCTGACAAGCAGCTTCCAACATAGGAAAGGTAGAGGACTACCAAGGGCTACAGGGATCTGGGCACTCCCGCAGGTAAGTCTCTGTATGGCCATTATCCACCTCCATCAGCGTTGTGCACACAGTCAGCTGTCAGGCAGGTGGGAGGAAGCAGAGAAAAGGGAAAGAAAAAGCCTCATTACAGCAATTAGTGGAAAAACTCTCTCTGATACTAGATGAACAGTTCAACTTAAAATGAGCATTTATCTTATTCAGTCAACAACATGCAAGTATGCACAGCTTGTGTCCTCAGCCAAGAATGATGCTTCCACTTAATACAGTAACTAAACTTTACCATTCAAAAACTCTTCCCATCCTTCTAGTCCTTCCCCCTCCAAACACCAACACCTCAAGTTCAGACTAAAACATCTTGTGTTGCAAGAAAAATGTGCATGTAATATGCCCTAAACCATGAGGTATAGTAACTTGTTCCATGCTACTTATAAAGGCATGTATCACAGGTTAATTCAGGTTAGAAGGGTCCTTCAGATGTTCATAGCGCAAATGCTGCCTCAAACCAGAGCCTGCTAGGAGAAAAGGGCTCAGCCTGCTCAGAGTTTTAAAGGTGTAGGGCCCCTGGAAAACAGCAATTACCTTTTGCTTTTACAAAGTAAGCATGGAATTTGTTTCACTTTTATGCACGTTTTCACCTAAAAAACTCTGAATGTACCACTGTGACCTCCTCCTTAGACATACAGTAGGTTAATGGTCTGCCCCCCACTCTAAACCTTCTGCAGAAATAGAAGCATTACCTTGTTGAGGACAGGCTTTGTAGAAAGAACGTCATAAATTGCTGGTAAGGAGAGGTTCTAAAAAGAAAATAATACATTGATGGTAAGGGATATTAACCTGTAAGTGTAAATGCTCAAACCTGTAACTTCTTTATTGCTCAAATAGTTAGTAAGATACAGCTTTAAGAGTACATCGTACTTGTACATCTTGAGATCAGGAGAATATGGGTTGCAAAAACCTGAGCAGACTAGATCTCAGTACAGCACAGGACATCTTGAGTGTCAATGTTTGCTGCCTGACAGCATGTGTTTGCATTTCACTGGTGTTAAAACAGCCCAGGAAACACTGAAAATCTCTCTCTCAAAGTATCTCCTGTTTAACCTCCTGCATATGCAGCTGCAGAACATGCTTGAGGGAAACCCACCTACATGAAGAGAAACTCTAAAACTAAAACCCATTTGTGTGAAGAGCAGCTGGTACTTCATTACCCAGGAGCACAGACAAATTGCCACAAAACCATTAGCCACTTTTGTTATTAGAGCTGTGCTTGCAAATGCCCCAACTGCTCCTGCCGGTGTCAGATCAGTACTGAAGCCTGGGAGCTTCAAAGCAGCAAGAAGAGGTATTGGGAAGATGTTTACCTCTTGTGTTGTCTGGTTCAGGCATTTCATTGCAGGTGTTCTACGATTATCCAAGATCAGTGGAGGCTTCCAGCGATCGTAGTTCGTTTCCAAGACGTACCACGTACCTTTCTGGATGTCAAGGCTGGAAAAGAGGTGTATGTTTGTGTTTTGCTTCTCTAAGTATATAGTAAGTACATATATAGTACATACTACATACAGGCAGATTTTTTTTTTTTTGGGTTCCTGTGGAATTTTTTGACAATGCTGAAGTGAGTTCTTGGACAATAGCAGTCATGAGAAACATGGGATGCAATTATTGTTGGAACCTATCCTCTTCTGGAAAGCCAAGTCAGGTGTCAGGTCAAGCATACTCACTCCCAGATATCCAGAGTGGCTGTCCTGGAACGAGTTATCACACACCCTTCTCCTGATTTTTTTCCACCCAGTATAAAGTAAGCTGGAGCCAGCAGTCTTGTTTTTGCCAGTTTGTCTTTTGCATCCTGGTAACTGCAGATAACAAAGTAGTGCTGGACTATTAAACATCATAAATGGTTGAAGTACAGAAAAAGGAGTTTCACAGACCCAAGAACAGTTCAGTAGCTGCACCTTTCTTTCCCTTTCATGCACATATGAGAAGGTTGTATTACAATGAAGAAATGCATTTAAGCAAAGCACCTCTACTCACTTTTGTATTTAAAGTATGGTTGTTGGGAGGTGCTCTACACTTTTCGTCATCTTATTCCTGGTTTAAATGTACATGTTGTGTCATACTCCATCTAATTCATTTACTGTGTGAGAGCTTTCGTTGCTGTTTACTTCCTAAAAAAACCCTTTCAGATGTGTTTTGATGCAGAATGCTGCTGTTACACACTCAGATGCCAATAGGTTCATTGGAACAAATACATCAGAGAAAACAATTTGAGGAGCTCTAAGGAATCATACGTGATGCTTCTCCCTCCTCCAGGCTACCAGCAAAAACAGAACTATTTAATGTTAAGGCTTCTAGGAAGGTATCTGTATCATTAGATACCAAGTGATAAGATCACTAGATAGATCTACGATGTTCACGCCAGTTGAAAGCAAAGTAGATTAAAGCAGCAGAATATTGAGTGTGAGTGGGTGGGGGAAATACCTTGTAGCATTCTCTAGAACTGTTCTTGTAAGAAAGCCCATCCACATACCATCTCTTCTACCAAGAAACCATTCGAACATTCCTGCAAAACAGCACTGGTTACAATAATTTGTTTTGAGAAGGTTCACACATGCTATTCTCACTCTCACAGCCTCTAAAGTGAACTCTGTTTTATCTTCTTCATCTGTAATCTTTTCACCATTTGTGTGCCTGTTTATTAAGCTAACCGGTATGCCCAAGGTCTGGAGAACTTGTACAGAAATAGTGAAAGGAATAAGCATTACTCACCAACATAACCACCATCAAGACTGAAACGCTCATTCATTGTCAGAGTGAACAAGTCCTGAAAAGCATTAAACAAGTCAACATCCATTTATCACCAGCCCACTGATGACAGTAATAAACAAGGGGTAGCACTGCAATTCACATACCAGTTGAGCTTCTTGTTCACTAGACTTTTCCCCTTTGGGCTGCAAGATTAAGCCCATGCAGAGAAGAAACTAATTGACCACTGCTTGAGGAAGTGAAATGGTAATTCATAGTCTTCCAGTCTGGCACAGCAACCCAGCAAACCATGCTTTTATGCTAAGCAGGTCAAGCCTGTGGACATTTTTCTGTTGGTCCTTGCTGCATCACAGGTTTACCAGTTTTCCTTCCCCTACTATATATTAACTTCTTCCCAAACCTCCGAATATTGCCTCAGTTTGAAGGTAGGTATTTCAGTCACAGTGCTAAGTACACCCTGATAGGTTATTGCTGTTCACATGGCCATGCAGATGTATGCAGTTCAACATGCAATGCAAACTCAAATCCCAGTCCAACTAGTTTCTTTTGAAGGAATGTGGAATTCAGCTACACTGGATCATTTTCAGAATGGACTGCTCCCAGTTTATTTGACCAGTAAAAAAATAAATGGATACAATGCAGGGATTTATGCCAGAAATGCTCTGCTACAAAAAGGGCCACCTACTATAGAGGATAAAAGCCAGAGCATGCAGGAAAGAAGGAGTTGTGGTAAGCTGGAGACCTTGGCATATTCTCCACAACTGTTTTATAAGGACTTAAGATAACCCCCAAATTTCAGGGGCCTATTAAAAAAGGAAATAATAAAAAAAACTTGCAATGTAGGACTCCTTTTCCAAGGATTAGAGAAGGAATTAAAATAGCACAGCTATGCCATTTCACCTCTGGGATCACAGCAGTATCCGTTTGCTAGCAAGAAACTCCAACCACTTGAGCTCTTTGTGCTCACTCTTGTTTGTAGTCAGAATTCAACGTCTGGCATTGGGTTTTTTACCTTTCTTCAAACAGCTATACAGTATACCAGAACAATTAAGATATCATTTATTAAAAACCATCCCAAGGCAGAGAGTGAAAGCAGGCAAATTTACATCTTAAAAGGAAGTCCAAAGTGTTACTAACAAACTGACAACCCTCCCTCCCCTTACTTACTGGTTTGACTCCAGACACCATGCCTATGTATCCTGCAAAGTTTGTAGATTTGAATACTGTTTTGTTGTTTCTCTGGAAGTCCAAGTTCACCACTATGGGCTTCAGCTCCTGAGTTAAAGTCCAGGAGTTATTTTTAACATCCCACCTGCAGAAGACAGTACAGCATTTGAAACCTCCCTCCCTCAGCAGCTTTTAAAAACTTCCCTTCACAGCACACAGATTTCCTGTGTGTGATACCTGTCCTCTAATCTTACTCATGTCAGCCAACACCACTGCTCAGCAGTTATGGGAGCAGCATCAGCAACGGACAATTAGGAGGTCTAAATGCAAAAGCAGTCAGTAAAAAGAACCAAGTTTTGTTTGAACCAAGAGCATATGCACTACTCGGTGTTAAACAGCACACCCAATACAGCTGGTTTGCTTTGACACACACAGCTTTCTTCTATTCCTGCTGACAAAAGGAAGCTGCTACAAGTACTCCCTCTGACATCAAACCTACTGTATTCTGAAAGCATGTGCAGCTTGTTCTGCAGCAGAATGATCCGGTTCCCTCAAATCCTGACTTTTCAAAGGGAGAAAACAAACCACACACTATTGGATTTGCTCTACCCTAAGGAAGCCCCAGTCTAGTTTGTAAATTAAGCCAGAACAGTTTGTAGGCTACAGGGTGCTAAAGTGCACTTAGCAGACCATTAAATTCTGTGGAAACAATCAGGTTCTGTGAGCAGCTTTGGAAGTTGCTTTAATTTTCAGGGAGCGTGTTCCCAGTATTTCTGACTAGTGTGAGAACTTCAACACAAGCCAAACCAAGGGATAGGGGATAGGTGAGGTCACAGCTGACAACATTAAGAGTTTTTGATAGGCAGGTAAGAATCTTAATGAAGATGGACACTTAAATTCCATCTGGGCAATGAGAGCCGTCTGGATGTGTGACATTACACAATATACTGGGATAATAGAACTACATGATCACAAGGTATGAAACGAAAAAGAACAGAATCCAGCCCTGGGCACCAAACTAGAATTTATATCCAAATGAATGATAATGTCAGATCAGTGGAGTACAAAGCACTGGCTTCTGAGTCATAGTCATGAATGATGGGAAGTGCCAGTAGAGCACAGTACAGTAACTAAGGGAAGAATTTAGGTGAAAAAAAAGCAACCACAAAACCAAGCCTCAATCCAATCCACATTTCTTTGCATACACTACAGTTGGTGCTTCTGTCCCACCATTTAAAGAACAAACCATGCCTCGGAGATACGGCTACATGGACCTTTCTTTGGTTAGTGACAGTTTTAACTGGAGCTGAGAAAACACGAAGTATCACAGAACACAACTGTTTTACAAAGTCATTCTTGACACACTTGCAGTAGCTTGACATAAGATCAGCAGAACTACTCTTTTGTTGGTTTTTTTTTAGCCCTTTTTTCACAACCTGCAATCCAGAATTACTTGTCACAGTTCAAACACCCAATTCATCATTTACACTCAAAGAATGCATGTAGAAATTTCAAGTTCAGCTTTCTCTTTGGGTTTAAAAATAAACAAACACAAATAATGGAAAGTGTGGTTACTTACCCAAGAAAAAGCCCAAAATCCAAGTTTCTGGCATGGTACAGCTTCCCTGTATAGCAATAAAAAAATTAAATACAATTTTCTAAAGAAAGAGACATAAACTTCAGCTTAGAAAATCAGAAAATAAATAAGCAGGAAAAATACCATTGTCTAGTTGCACTTTTCATAAGCCCAGTAAGAGGGAGGGGGGGGCGGTTGGATTAACAAAGTGTTTTGCCATAATTGAAATCCAGTAATCTTGTAAACTGCTGTCCATCTCAGCCTGAGATGCTTTCCACATTATCTTAATGCAATGCTACTACCTTGAGCTTCCTCTCAAAGTGAGATGTTCATAAGCCCTCTGAGAACCCCATAGACATTTCCTGAGCTGGAACAGGTACAGACAAGGGCAGCAGAACTGAGTAACAGAACAAGTCTTTTTCTTTCTTAGAACAGGCTATCCATTTTCATAAGCAGTATCTAGGAACTAGATGCCAAACAGATTGCACTAGAATCCCTCATGGCACTGAGAAAGTATCAGGTGCCTGGCTGGTGTTTCCTTCCACTAGAAAAACAAATCCCAGCTACTGTAATCCTTGAGGGTACTTTTTCCTCTTTTTTTTAACCTCAGACAACTGTGATCTCTTGCTCTCTTCTCAAGAATACCTTTTTATTATCATTGCTTTTAGTCTCTTCTACCAGACCTTCTTGCCTGCAGTTGAGAAGGACTATGTTTGTGTTAATTGACCCAGACCCTTTCCTACATATAGGATTCTTATGTAAATTCTGGGTTGCATTACCTGTTTTATCTTCCGCCACTATTGATGTACATACAGTAAAAATTTCATAAAAGATGTTAAAAATAACAATTTCCCCTAGAACAAAAAGAAACAAAGTTCAATAGCCTGAAACTTTTGCCATAAACAGAGAAAAAAAAAAAGGTAAGAAAAAATATACTGCAAAGTTCAACATTCTATGATATTTTTCTTAAGAATTTTGGTTTAAATCTCATTTGAGCATTGAAATGACTGTTTCACCAAAATCAAGAGCTTCCTGAAAGGCAAACAGAAGGATCAGAATCCTTTGGTCTTCTGCTTTACTATACAGAAAACTGACAGTAATTGCTATTTCCTCCTCTGGAAACTTCAAAACAAGCTATAAAATTCACTTTAAAGAAGAAATGTACTCTATGTACCACTCTTCCACAGAAGAGCTGCTGATAAGCACCAGGTATACTGCTCCTGTACGGGCGAAGCAGTGGAAGTAGGTCTAGGGACCTTATCTGTCACAATTCTGGAAGAATTCAGTGTCTACTTCTCACTGGAATGGCATTCTTTTTCACAAAGTGTGGAAGGAAGGCAGGAGGATGTGGCAAAGGATCACAAGTGAAAGAAAGCACAGCATGAAACTAAGCCTTGCCTTCTTGGTATGTCAACAGCAGCCATACAGCTGAACGGGAAACCAATGAGAATGAAGCATTTCCCCCGAATTCTGGCACACAGGAACTGAAACTTGCTCCATTTCCCAAAACTCAGGAGTGAGAAGCTACATCTCTACAGAGAATTTCCAGCCTGATGAAAGGCTTATGTGATTTCTTGCCATTCTCCTCCAAAATACTGTTTCTGGTTTCATTTAGTTTGACATGCAATTGATTGCTTTATCTACTTCATTAATAATTTATTTGTTATAGTCACAGATGACTACAACTATAGGGCAGATTGTACGCATACTGATTTTATATGAGTCTGGCTTTTCACGATGTTAGCAGAGTGCTGGAAACTATTACCCAAAGGAATCCCGGATGAATTTGCAATCCCTCTAAGTTCTTCATTGAAAGGATAAGGAAGTGTGGCTGTCAGGTGAACCTGAAAGGAAAAGTTTTGTACATTGTTTGTGCAAATCAATACTCTTCTGTTACTTAAAAAAAATCTCTCCCCAGTAGTACACCCTTCTTGCAAGTACCGAGTACTGAATTCCTCTGCAGCTTGTAGAACTTGAGGATGACAAGTATGCAACTGGGGAAAGCAAAAACTATTACTTATCAAAATACTGATGTGTGAACAAAGAGGGAGTGTCACGAGGATGGAGCCAGGCTCTTCTCAGTGGCAAACAATGACAGGACAAGGGGCAATGGGTACAAACTGGAACACAAGAGGTTCCACTTAAACTTGAGAAGAAACTTCTTCTCAGTGAGGGTGACAGAACACTGGAACAGGCTGCCCAGGGAGGTTGTGGAGTCTCCTTCTCTGGAGACATTCAAAACCCGCATGGACACGTTCCTGTGTAAACTTATCTAGGTGTTCCTGCTCCGGCAGGGGGATTGGACTAGATGATCCTTTGAGGTCCCTTCCAATCTCTAGCATACTGTGATACTGTGATAACAGAGATTAGCACAGTATCTTAATTATTGTTAGCAGCAGCAGCCAGAACAGAGTGCAGGACTCCTACATGCTAGAAGCTCAACCAGAACTCAGCTTGACTTTTTGGGAATCACCACCTTTCAAACAGAAGCATTATTACTGTAGATGCTACCTTCACATCAGCCCTGCTCAGGCACACAGGGATACAAATGAAGCATGGCCAGTGTGACCTAAGGCTGCTGTGAATAAAGATGGGGGACAGATCTGACCTTATGCTGTCTCTAGTGCTACACTGTGTTCCCCTGTTCTGATTTCATGCCCAAGCCTATTTTAATCAGAACCAAATTAGTTTGTAAGGTGAGACCTGATCAGTTGTCCCTCTACTCAGGTATTTATGACAGTTTTCAGAACCTGATTTTATGCTACCGTTTAAAAGCAGTTGAACATAGCAAAGAGAATTCCAGTGAAGTGTTTTGCTACAGCAATGTCCTGATTTCATAAGTAGCATATGTCTGTCCTGACTGATCCAAACTTGAAAAGATCTTAGAAAAAATCAGAGGAGGCAGAGATGTGTACATTTTAGGTTTGATGGTTTCAGAGTAGTTCAGAGTAGGCAAGAAGGCAAAATTTCAGAGTAACTCTTTGAAACACCATTTTTGTTCTGGAAGAATTATCACTCATGAAATACTTAACTGCCAGATTTAGCGGCACTCCAATTCTGGTAGTCGAGCATACGGTAATAAAATTCTTAAGCTGAAAATACTTACTATTTTCTTATCCACTATGTCAACAACTTTGCCACTGGGAAAGAAGGTATTTGCTATATCTTTAATATTCTGGACCACAGTCTTCAGCTAAAAAGAACAAGAGCTTTTACTGAGTACATCTGAAGCATTAGGATTGCTACAATATTAACAGAACTCCTGCAAAAAATCATTTTGGTGAAAAATATGTATTTAAGGGAAGTGCTAAATGTTGTGCTCCTGCTGAGAAAACCACCCCCAACTCCTCATTAAAGAGTCATTCTTCAACCTTTATTCAAATAGCTTTCTCAACTAGCTCTGACGCGTACTTCTACCAGAGAAAAAGAATTACAAGGAAAAGCCATCTTTGTCTTCTGCTCCTTTGATCACGTTTTAATACGCTGCACTCTTCTCTCTTTAAAAATGTTAATTAAAAGCTCTTCACTTAAGCACTGATGTTCTGGAAGCCAAAAAGACTCAATATATTTCTTACAGAAGTACATGCTTTCCATCTGTGACATGTGAATGGCCACAAATAGAGTTCCACTCCATGTGATCTAACTCCAAAGTACGTGAGAGATATAACCTGTCAGAATTCAAGGTAAACCTGAATCTTCCAGCACTTCAAATAAATACTACAGTGTAAGTAGAATTTGTCTGGCCTTCAGAGCTGAAAGGTCAAAGTTAGCAGGGATATAGCAAAAATCCCTGGCCTTTTTTGAGAAATTAAACATTACTGGTTTGAATTTCCAGCAACCTTCAGAAGAAACTGCTCTAAACAGTCTGAAATAGTCTTGAGTATTTTAAAAATGATTTCTGCTCTGTAAGCACCAGTGATGGAAGCAGCATCCCTGAAAGGCGCAGGAAATCCACTTCAGCATCTCCTGCAGTGTTTTGAGAGAAGCAGGGATGTGCAGAGAAGGGATGCTGCCTCTGTTTCATTTTGCTGTGGCTGTCCCTTTTGTGTACTCCTCCCCTCTTTGTTCTGTACTGCTTCATGAGTAAAGGGCTTTGATAAATGAAAGCCTGCTTTATCCTGCACCAGTTTCTATTTCTCTAAACGTCTGTGCCCCTACACTGGATACTGCAAGCTCAAGAGCTGAACAGAATGAAGTTTTACTCAAGAAATTATTTTAGTCTAGAGTCAATAAAAAAGTCAAGTAGAAATGTTATCCTTTTCAGAGGACTCTGACACAGGTATTCCTTTCCAAACGTTTTTTCAAAGTACAGGCCATGAGCTTCTTTTATACCTCCTAAGATTCAAAGCAGGCTCTGAATTTCATACCTGTGTCTTTTTGTCACGCATCAAGTTATCCCATCTTTTGCTGGGAGGTAAATCAAGATTTATGACATACGTGGGTATGTTCCCTTTGAACCTGAAAGATAAGTACCAAAGTTTATATTTGAAGGAGGCTTTGAAAAAACATTTAACAAAACAGGTGCTTCCCACCTGTAACTAGCATTTTTTAGAGATGCAAGGGAACAAGTTACTAAAAAACCCCAAAACTGTTCAGACTTGCGAATCACTACTTTTCTGTCATTTGTTAGCCACGCTGAATCGGATTACTTACGTTGGCCCTGAAGGAGGGTATGTTTTAGTCCTGCACTCTTCTCCATACTGTAAAGACAGCAAACCATTACAATTTAGCTTCTTAGTAAAAACACTATTACTCTATCAGCCTTAGATTTGAATTAAACCTCTAGGACTTATCAACTAATTCAGTTCCTGATGAGTTGATAATAAAGAGAGTCTTGGGACTTTGGAAAGGGTGCAGAGGAGAACACAAGAGGTAGGGGACAAACAACAGCTTAGTCCAAGGCAAGCACAAGTTTGCCATAAATATACAGATGCATTTTTACCCCGTGTGATTCAACAAAGAGTTGAATAAGCATATTCTATAGACAAGCTCAGAAACCTTAAATCTCAGCATTGACCAGTTTGCTCATAATCACATTTTATAGCATCATTCATAACTATGCTTAGCATTAAGCTGCATTGTGCAGCTGCAGCAGAGAAAGCACAATGAACCCTGGGCAAATTACTCAGTGCAATGAGCTACATAGCATGACTTCTTATTTAGTGTGGGAAAGTGCTGCTGAACTGCTGCTACATATTATGAGAGGCACATTTCAGGAATATAACTAAAAACTAGTTACCTTCATTCCTGCGAGCACAGCTACTTACAAATGAAAGTTTGAGGACTGTATATAGGCATTCTCAAAGTGAATGCAAGGATGTTTTCCCATCAATCACATAAAGCATGCACATACATATGTAAACATATGCATATATATGCCACAATTATAGCCTCATGTTTTATGCAGTGAAATACAAGTGAATGCCTACTAGCCACACTTGTGCTTCAAGCCAGTCGAGAACAGACCAGACTTGGTCCCCAAGCTATCAGAACAGATCAGTAAGCAACTAAGAGCACAGTATGTCCCACTAGGAAAAAGGAAAGGTACACATGCTATTCCAGGACTCCATACAAAACCTTCCAAGACACAAGTGTTTGGGAGACAGAATAGAAATAAGAGTATTTAGCGATCATTCCACCACTCCCCACACAGACTTTGATTTCCAATATTTATTTTGCTTTACTAACTATATTACTTATGCGTCCTTATAATGCATTCTGGTTCCATGAAAAACTGACACAACATGTCTAGTAGCTACGTATCTATCTGGACAAAAAAAGCTAACTAAAGTCCATGTTCTCTTCGGGCTCACCACATTATCTGTTTTTAATGCATTAATCTTGAAAACACAATGCCTTACACAATGTCACGAGCTTCAAACACTGGCATAATTTGTTGCAACTAGAAACAGGAATTTGAAAGTGGGACTGGTTTCTGTGTGCTATCATGTGTTCTCTTTTTGTATTGTTTCCAGCTGCTGAGAAAAAGCGTGGGATGAATTTTGGTTCTCCTACATACAAAGCGAAGGTATAGGACCAGCAGCTGTGTGTGTTTCCTAGATCTCGCCGTACTGCAGTTATAGCCTTTGCATAGCTGGAAGAAAAGGTCAAACAGAAGAGGCCATTTAATTTTCAAAATGAGGAAGTTTCAAAACAAGGAGGATAGGGGGTGGGTATCAGATGACTAATTAGGCAACAAAAGTCAGAGTCTTTGTGCAAAGGCAAGCAAAAGCTTAACAGTACTAATGCAACTGTCTTGTGAAATTTTTCACCCTGCAATACTAAAGTCAATCAGAAAAAGTGACATTACATACACACACTAGTGCAACGGATGCACAGATCTGGACCTTCGTGAGATACCTGCTGTCAGAACATGCTTCTTGAGAGACAAAGCCTGTAACAAAAAATTCTCTGCAGTGGATGAAAGTTCAGTCGATCTTTCTGTACACCCCACGTGTATTCAGAGGAAACAGTGGCAACCATGCAAACTGATTTCAAAGGATTTTCAGTGGTGTTCCACGTGCCAAATGTTATGTCACTCCTGAGATTTTAATCTTGTATTTGAAGCTATTTTTATCTTGCAAGCCCTTTGCAACCTAAGCCACAAAAAAGGTGGGTAAAGCAACAGCTAAAGGAAGAGTTATGGGAAAGATACAGAGAAAATGTTCCCTCTTTACATGTCAGTGATTTTAGACTTCTCACCTGTCTATAAAGCAAGCTAAAGAAACCAAGAATCCCCAAACCAACCCATATACCTTCCAAAACTGCTAGCATTGCTTGTGATATCTGATGAAAGCCAGTATTATTAACAGTTTCTTTAGGTAAACTACTATATGCTGGCACATAAGCAGTAATTAAAAAAGATGTCAAGACAACCAGAAAACTAGAAATGTTTTGTTTGTGAACAAAAAAACACTGCCTTCTGCAATCAGCTGAAGACTGACTGCAAACTTCTCCTGCAAGTTAAAGATTAAGAGACACCTAAAATACTTTCTTACAGCAACAGAAAAGCTATCAGGCACTTTGTCACTGGCCTGAAATGAACAGCTATGGAGTTACTGCTTCGGTCAGTGAGATCTTCCCCTCTGCAGAGGTTTGACACTGGAAGAGGAACAATAAATGCTGTCTGAGAAGCAGGAGCAACCTTCCAGGATGAGAGGATCGCCTTAAGTTTCCAATGTGACAAGCCAGAGAGGGTGTCCCAGAAAGAGCCAGCAGAGCTGGCTCCAATCAGGAGGTCATCACTATAGACTTGCTTTTCAAACATGCACTGAGATGCCTAGGAGGAATACAGCTATTCTTGAGTGGTGATTAAAACCTCTTTTTTTTCTTTCAAATTTGCATGCACGTAACAATACAAAAATGGATGTGTGGCAGCACAGGACCAAAGAAAGAAAGAGAACACAGTGGAGGAGAAAGACAACATGGTATGGGGAAAGATGGAAACAAGAATTAAAAATGGAAGTAGCACAGATGATTTCTATTACAACTGATCATATAAAAAGAAAAAAAAAAAGGTAGACCAGAACAGGAACCAAACCAGCCAGAAAACTGCTAAGATTAATTGCGACCTGGGAACAGAATATCAAGTGATGACAGTTATTATTCACTCTAGTACAGAAAATTAATGCATGGCTTAATGACTGCCGAGTTAATATTTTAAAACTTAGCCTGATTTCATGAATATGAAACAGGTGGAATGTACTCCCCCAGTCTGAGGAATGCCAGTGCTTTCCTTATTACTCTCAGAAATACTTCTGAGGTGGACCATATCCGGCATCCTTCCTGAATATTCAGTGTTTCCCATCTTCATATTTAAAACTAAATACAAAAAGACCCATTTGAGCTACAAACTAAGGTTCTACAGTTTAAGGACATGGCATTCAATCTCTTTCAGGCAAAGTAATCCGTTGCATGCAGCATCGTTCTGTCTATGAACTCTGTGGCCTAATACATTTTTCTCCCTGCTCCTCTTCCCCTACAGGACGATGCCAGTGCAGCACTCTGTCTGCCGCAGCAGTCCCACCGCTCTGCACCTTTCTGAGCAAGGAAGCTGAGAGTACTCTGGCAACGATGAAGAAATGGGGACCAAGCCAACTTAAACTGCAGCTTGGACAAAAAGTTGAGTATGGCTGAGGGGGCCTAACCAAAAGCTAAACGGACTGACTGCACCACTGAGATGTAATTCATGGCATTTAGCTTCCATGTTCCTGGTTAACGAAAATCCTGTATAGTCAGGGCAGTAAGGGAAGATGGGTCACCCGGATGTCCACAGTCCTCCAGAGCCTTTCCTGCAGTTCTACCTCTCCCAAAACCCACACTCATTTTACTGAAATCAATATAACTTGCTAGGAAAGGTCTTATAGCAAACACAAAAGAATACAGGAAGTAGTATGTTCCCAAAATATTTAAAAATCTAATATAAACTGTATTTAAAAACAGGATGCAAAACAGTATTTTGAGATCCAGAGATATTTAAAAACCTGTCCTCTTCCCAGAGGATGAGAAGATTGGGAAACTGAAGAGATCAAAAAGTGCTTTGAAGCTTTGGGAATAACGAAACACTTCAGGAAGCAAGAACAGCAATTTACGTACGCAGGAGATGGAAGCCAGCAGGTCCCAAGTAACTCCCCCCCCCCCCTCCCCTGACCTGTCAATTCCACCAAAAGTTAAATATTTCACCTATTCAGTTAAAATAAAAAACAAAACCAAACCAGGATACCCCAAGCGCACCTGCTCCACACTTCTAACCTTGGGTACAGCTATAACAAATGCACTGAGCAGATTCAAAAGCGTATGTAATTTTAGCAAGGCCTTCTCAAGTTTCCTTCTGAATATCGCTGCTTTGCTGTAACATTACAATATTCACATTACAGATGTGTATGAAACTGAACGCGGGGATGAGTAAGGACTTGTAAAGCACACCCTATAAACGCCAAGACTTGTAACCGCAACCAAAGCTGTCAGAGGAGCCATTTAGAAGTTACAAAGTCCGTGAGGGGAACCAGGCGCTACCTCGAACCCACACGCGTGAAACTAAAGGCCTCCTGCGTGGGGCCGGCTGCCCTCACACCGCCCGGCCCCGGCCGCCTCCTCCCCCGGAGAGAGCCGGGAGCGATCCCCTCCGTTCCGCGCTGGCCCCCTCTCCTCCCGCCGCCAGGCTCACCGGGTCCGGCGCCCAGACGAGCTCCGCCGCGACAAGGAGTGCGGCGGGGCACAGCAGCGCCCAGCCCCAGCCCGCCATCCTGCTTCCCGGTGCGGCGGCCCGCATGACACGGCCCCGCCTCGCCTGTCAGAGGAGGCGGGCGGCGGAGGGAGGGCCGGGGCGGCGGCGGCACTGCTGCCCCAGCCCTCCTTGGTGTTTTCCAGTCATAGTTCCACAAGAGAGAAGTCCTGCACAGGAAGATCTGAACTAAAATGGAGTCTCTTAGGTAACGCTAAAAGCAAAACCCGTGGCACTTGTTTTCACTTCATAAATACTGTAATTACTCTGCGTCCTCGGGAGAATTTTAGGCAGGTTTTTATGGTGACGACAGGTGCAAGACAGGTGCCTTTGTTAGGAAGATGGAGTTTTCTCCATCTTGCCTGCTCGAGAGCGCAGGAAATGGGCAACTGGAGAGAGTCTAATGACAGAGTATGAGTATATACCCATCTAAAGCACATACACCAAATAGTTTGGGTTGGAAGGGACCTGGAAGACCATCTAGTTCCAACACCCCTGCCAATGGGCAGAGACACCTTCCACTAGACCAGGTTGCGCCAAGCCCCATCCAACCTGGCCTTGAACACTGCCAGGGATGGGGCAACCACAGCTTCTCTGGGCAACCTGTGCCAGTGCCTCACCAGCCTCATAGTGAAGAATTTCTTCCTAATGTCTAATCTAAACCTCCCCTCTTTCAGTTTCAAGCCATTCCCTCTTGTCCTGTCACTACCTCCCCCAGATGTCCAGTAGGCCCCCTTTAGGTACTGGCAGCTGCTCTGAGGTCTCCCTGAAGCTGCCTCTTCTCTGGTCTGAACAGCCCCAGCTTTCCCAGCCTGTCTTCATAGGAGAGGTGTTCCAGCCCCCTGATCATCTTCATGGCCCTCCTCTGGACATGCTCCATCAGTCTACATTCCTCTTATGTTGGGGGCCCCAGAACTGGATGCAGCACTGCAGGTGGGGTCTCATAAGAGCAGAATAGGTAGGGAGAATCACCTCTCTTGACTTGCTGGCCATGCTGCTTTTGATGCAGCCCAGCATTCCATTACTGATTATTTGTTTACTACTATATGCAAATCTATTTGTTGTATTATCACATACAAGCCAGCAGCAGAGTAAGGTGCATCCTCCAAATAGCTTACAATAAAAGGTATAATTTTAGTGTGAGCAAATGAACAGGTAATGAGTATATACGTTAGCAACAGCTTTTGGAAGCACCATAAATAAATACTAAAAACCTTCTAGGATGCTTGCGTTTTAGCTTGTGTCTCGAGCTTCATGCAGTGCCCCAGATGTGTCACATTTTTAGGCCCACATAAAAGAAGTAATGCAGTCTTTCATATCATGACTTAACTGGCTGTGCAATTAACTCTTATAAAACAAACCAGGGGTGGTAAGAAAAGGAAGTCCTTGGTTGATTGAAATCTACATTGCATTGCAGAAATTAAGAAACAGGAAAGGATAAAAGAAACGCGTTGTAAGATGTGAAAGCCTTGGGCAAAGGGAGGGCATGCAGCAGTGTGTAGGAAGGAATCATCTCAGCGTGGAATTGCACAGCGCTTTAGAGACCAAGGCAGAAAGCATTAAGTACTGATGGAAGAACTTACAGAACCAATTAGGGGATTCAGGAAATGAGGAAAATTATAGCGTAACAGGAGAAACCTGGAGATTTTCATGGGAGTGTCTTTCACACATAAGAAACTGCTTTGTTTCCTTAGGGCTCAGGCAAATTTTTCTGGTTGAACACAAATACCAGGCAATAATTCTGCATTTACACACAGGTAACTGAACATACTATTGCAGTCTAATGTGAGAAATAGTCAGATTGAGTTCGTCCTGTTATTTTCTAAACATCTGCAATGCCTTTTGCTTAGCTTTCACTTCTGGAGCAGGCAGCATTTAGGTGCCTTACTGCAAGAGAAACTGTTGTTTTTGCATATCAGGGATGGGGCTTTGCAGTATTAAGGCTTTGTAATATTAAGACTTTGCAATATTTGGGCTGGGGCTAAGTTACTAAAAGAACAAAACAAAGGGCTTGAAATATCATGACTTAAACAGGCACACTCTGTAGTTAAAGACAATGTCATCTTTGGGTGACAGACACACTGTGGTTAAAAAGAATGCTATCTCTGTACAACTTATGAAACTAAGTGGGTGCAAACTGGTTCTATAGTTAAACAGTCAGCTGAGGTACCACATGTCTGCCAGAGAGTTATGAAACTGAACCATAAAAGGAGACAAATAAATAAGAGGAAGGGGGTACGAAATTGAGTGAGGGGAGATGTAAACAGAAGCGGGACAGTTAGCATGTAGATTATACATGCTGGATAGGCTGTAAATCTTGGAGTACCCAACCAATGAGGAAACAAGGGAGGGAACAGGGTAGGAAATACAAATCAAAGTTCTGCCTTTGCTGTGTGTGCCTACTTGCCAGGACAACCGTTTTTGCAAAAGCTTGAATGAATAGCTGCTTCACTGTTTTATCTAGAGACCATTTCTCACACTATCTTTATCTTCATCTACATGCTTTACCATCTTTAGGACATTTTTAACAGTAGAAAATAAACTATGACTTTGGAAAATTGAAAGCTTTGAATGCTCTGACAACAAAATTATGCCATCGTCACATTAAACATTCACAACTTACTTTTTTGAAGCCTCTTTATACTTCTGGTTTAGTTCTTTCAGCAATAAGGAAATTTTTGGCTTAAGGAATCACTAACATACTCCAGCACCCGTGTTTGTCTGACTATGGCTGTCCCACTGCTTTCCTATCAGAATGCTTTGTCTCCAGAGTCCACACCAGTACCATTTTGTTGTCTAGATTTCCTCCATCAATTTTCAAAAATCCAAGTTAAGTCAAAAGAAAAAAGCTTTGTAAGATGTGCAGCTTTACTCATTAACTGTACTAACAGCTGGTGACACACCTAGTACTTCATGTCTACCCTCTGCTTTGTACTCGTGTCGTACTGTATTACTATTCCCCTGATTTGTGCCTTCCTCCACAAGGAGAGGCTGCACAAATTACTTCCCCTTTTCTCTCTGCTTCAGCTACAAGTTGTGCTAACACTACTCCTAGACATGGTATCACCAAGACTTCATTAATACCTCCAGTGGGAAAATATCCTAACAAATTCCTTACAGCAACAGTTCAACAGACATACTGATCTTCACTGTTTTGTCATACCTTTCCTTTCCTTTTCTGGAACTAAAATTCCAGTAAATTCCCCAGACCTCTGCTTCTGTGTTATGTCAGGCAACATTTTCTTAGCAAGAATCTAGTGTATCATTAGTTTCAACACAAAGGGTGACCCAATTGCTACTACAGTATCCTTATTCCCTGCAATGCTGCTTGTCCTTTGCTGAATCCAGTACTACTTCTTAGGACAATGTTACTTCACTTGCTGTAGCATTTCTTTTTGTTTCACTTATTGCAAAGTTTATAACAAACATGCTTCCATTACTATCACTTGGACCTACTTACAGCACCTACACCTTGCATTCTCCTATTTACACTGACAAACAGGAAATAGAAAATTCCTTTCTATTCATGAAAGGAAAACCACATAGTGTCACATCAGTCTATTTCAACCTTCAGCACTCACTTCAGATGCATTTAAGATTCACAGTGATTGTGGATCAGTGACACCTGCAGTGGACTGCCAAATAAATAATTACTCTGGCCTGCAGCCTGCTCCTTGTGTTGCCACCTTTTTCCCAGCATTTCCAGGAGTAGTTTTGGCATCAGGGCCACTTCCAGGTCCATGATGCTGGTGTTTAAACCATGACAGTTGTACACCAGGTTACTTACATTTCTGGGGAGGGACATGTGCTGTGGTACTTGTAACCAGAACCGAATCCTAATACCCAGTCCTAGACCAAACTGAGGAGCTCTGGGAAAAAAATCAATTATTTTTCTTTGTTTTTCCTGTGATAGCACAACCCACAGCTATGCTGCATTTTCTTCCAAGAACTCCTCAGACTCCAGCTAGCAACATTTGCCAGCAAATTGTCTCTTTAGCCCTAGCTTTTGGCCTTCTTCCTGAAAATTCAGCACTCCCTTCTGTCACACCTAGACATGCAGAATGCATCTTTTCTCACAATATAAGAACTCAAATTATGGCCTTTATTAACTGTGGAAAAGGCAGCATACCCCTCTTCTTCACAAAAATTGAGTCATAGAGCATATGGAGATACACTGTGATTGTAAAGTCTCTAAACTAAACATACAATCAGTTTCATCTGCTTGGCCATTTCTGCTACTGGTAAAAAATTCAGCCTCACACTCTGCCTATATGGTTTGCTGATTGACAGGGTATCTATTCTTATTTGAGAGCAATCACGTTATACACAGAGTTCCCTGGAAAAGCCAACTATTCTCTTTCAAGACCACTAAAAGACAGGGAGCTTTTTTCCCCTGTACTACATCACTGTACAGGGCTTAAGTAATATTGCAAATAACTTAACATTGATAATTTACACACTTTTAATTTTCCTTGGAGCCATTCACTTAATACAAGCCAAATATCCAGAACTGATACAATGAGATTTTATAACTGGGTTATCAGTATGTGAGGGAAGTTTAACATAATTCTGGAAACACCCCCTAAAAAAAAATCAGAATCAAGGATCAGTTCTGCTAATTGCAATTTCTTTCTGAAAATGTTTTAACAGAGACTCACTACAAACATGTTGACATTCCCAGCAATTGCCTGCATTCTTGAAAGAATGCATAGTTAATAGAAATTGACAGGAAACAAAGATAAAGTGTGTCACGAGGATGGAGCCAGGCTCTCCTCAGTGGCAAACAATGATAGGACAAGGGGCAATGGGTACAAACTGGAACACAAGAGGTTCCACTTAAACTTGAGAGGAAACTTCTTCTCAGTGAGGGTGACAGAACACTGGAACAGGCTGCCCAGGGAAGTTGTGGAGTCTCCTTCTCTGGAGACATCCAAAACCCACCTGGACACGTTCCTGTGTAAACTTATCTAGGTATTCCTGCTCCGGCAGGGGGATTGGACTAGATGATCTTTTGAGGTCCCTTCC